TTTCTTCTCTCAACCAAGACAAAAAAACTTGATTTTCTGAAGGTGGTTCGTGGAACATTATGAAGGCAGGCCACTAGAAGGGTACTCCAGATGGAATAGGAGCTGTTGTAAAAAGAGCGGCAGAAACACTTGTTGCTTTGTAACACCTACAGTCGACACATCACATGCTCTATTGAGATTGTGTAACGGTAAAGTGTCCGTAAATCATAAATATATATTTGAATATGTTGAATAACTCATATGTACTTTAAAAAATTGAAGATTTGTTGTTAAATTTTAATTATATCCTCTTTAAAACAATAAATTACAAGAATTAATACTAAAATTTGACAATTAACTAAAACAAATTCAAAAATATTATTGTCCGTTTATTCTTGTCCGCTCCGTTACGCTTTCGAAAATGGTAAGGTACGATAGGTAATGGTATGAAGAAAATTCAAATTTTGCTCCAATTAACTATGACATCATATCATTTCTTCCTATTGCAGACAACGTTAACTATCATGCAAGTTACCCTCGCATTTCAACAGAAGGTAAACGTTTCAAGTTGCGTATGTTTATTTAATGTCCGTGTTAAGGTAGGCACTTTTTCCCGTCTAAAATTACTTTCAACATTTAATACATGTGTGTACAGGATCATGTTTTCACCGCTGTGGGTTCAAATCCCAACAGGGACTTTGGATTCTTTCATGTTAGGAAGCTATCCAGCCCGTTCGTGCCTGAAATAATGCACGGAAGGGCACCTGAGGTCCTCCGCCACCAGTAAAGCTGGAACGTCGCGATATGTCCTATACTGTGTCGATGTGACGTTAAACCCAAAACAAGAAAACAAACCAACAAAAAACAAACAAACAGATCATGTTCTACCTTGTGGACTGTACGGTTGCGTGAATTCACTGTTTTTAAAGTGCATCGACACTACGAGTTTTCGCACTGACATGGAACTTTTCTGAATTTGGTCATAGAAAGGGGGCGGGAGGTCTAATTCAGCACAAAGAAGACAAACTGGCCGTTCATCGTTCTGATATTAAAAATTCTTGGGATTAATATAATGCTGTCAAAGAAATGGGCCTCAGTGTCAAAAATAGATAAATACAGAATCCCCAAAGAAAGCCCAACTCGGCAAAATTGAAAATGTTGCAGGCTCGGTTTGATTGAGCCTGTGCTTACACGGTACTGGAAAGTGCAAGTTACCGTCCACGCCCCCTAGCACCGGTTCTTGTTGCTGGGTCATGTGGGGGTTGCGTTCATTGAACGCCGCCTTTCCTTGTTGATCTTGTTTATCATATTTTAAGCAGAATTCAACATTTAAACATGAAATAGTAAAATTTTGAATTTAGAAACATCCGCAGATGTGTTCATACGGCGGTTATCATGGAACCTTCAATGTGACACGTTAGTGCCATTCCATGAAAAGCGGCGTATGGCCCCCAAGTAATAAAAAGCGTGTGCCCTAAACGAGAAAACAATGGGAGGAACTAAATAAAATGGAATTTTGATAGGGGATCAGAGGTTATGAAGCCTGCGTATCATAGATAAGACGTCAAAAGACAAATTAAAAAGCAGGCAACATATCCTAAGGGTGATTGAACATTATTCAAGTAGGAATATTGAACCACCCAACTAGAAAATGCCGAAAAGTTGAAACTAAAAATACCACAAGCACAACAATAATGTCGTGCTGAAAGTTTTCTTTCGAGGGCATACGTCACTTTTTAGTGACAGCTCGTTTTATCCTTATATAATTTTTAAAGAACGGAGTGTAACAATGACGACCATTTACTAGCTTAAGGTCTTTAGCGTACCCGTTTATATACTATGACATGACGTGAACGCTGAAGATAACCCCGCAGGGAAAGTCCACCAATTATTGTGCCAAGAATCTGACATGCTCGTATTCATTCATCGAATAGCCATGAAGTAAAGTGAAACATACCTTGATAAAACTATATATAATCTGTTGATAAGCCTAGGATGGACAAATAACAATATTTTTTTTTTATAAAAATTACTTTTTTTAAAGATATTAAAAATGGTGATTTACTGACTTTTGTATTCAATAAAATCATATTTAAGTACTAAAAAATTAATGAAAATAAATAAAACATTATCTTGAATAAAAATATTGAAATCATGTCAACAAAGATGTTCTAAATATAGTACACGACTCTAGGACACACGCTTTCTATTACTTGGGGACCATACGCCGCTTTTCAAGGAATGGCACGGAAGTGTCACGTTGAAGGTTCCATGATAACCGCCGAATGAACACATCTGTGGATGTTTCAAAATTTTACACTTTCATGTTTAAATGTTGAATTCTGCTTAAGCCGGTGCTAGGGGGCGTGGACGGTCATTTCACTTTACAGTACCGTCCATGAACAGGCTCAATCAAACCGAGCCTGCAACATTTTCAATTATGTTGTTAAGGGATTCTTATTTCCTGTAAATCGGTTCCCGCGAATGACGTCATACGAAGTCTCGCGTGACACCTAAATGTCATGGCCGACAGTAGTCTGGGTAATTGATGTTTTACTTAGTTTCCAGATTTTTATACTTCACAACAGCAGGTGTCAAGTGCTGTGTGGCAGCTGTAAAAAGTTGCCCCGTACTTCACTTCAGTGTTGTTATATTTTTCTGGTCCTTCGGGATCATTGATGACAGCATTATTAAGTGTTGAGAATTGAGTACCGCTCAAGCCGGTGTTAGGGGGCGTGAGGGATGTTGCACATATTCATTATCCCTCATGTACAGACTCAATCAAACCGAGTCTGCAATTCTCTTGTAATTTTGTTGTGATTAATGCTTCCGAGGGATTACTTAGTTTCCTGATTTTTTTACAGTTAGATAGGCAATTTTAATGACGGTATTAATATTTTGATACTTTAATTGGTATAGAACAATATTAAAATAATTGTTTGATCGTAAAATGCACAAGAATTGATTGGGTTAAGTGTATTTGCAAGTGAAAAATAAGAATAAATCAACTTCTGTTATTCTGGTTAGATTTCGTAACGGGTCTAATCGAAAACTTTAATGCCGCATCAGATGAAAAACAAATGTTAAATAGCGGCTAAAATGTACAGACTCAATCAAACCGAGTCTGCAATTATTATGTTATTTTGTTGTGATTAATGCTTCCGAGGGATCACTTTAATTCCAGAATTATAAAAATATGATAAACAAGATCAATAAAATAAAATAAATACAGAATCCCTAAAGAAAGCCCAACACGACAAAATTGAAAATGTCGCAGGCTCGGTTTGATTGAGCCTGTTCATGGACGGTACTGGAAAGTGCAAGTTACCGTCCACGCCCCCTAGCACCGGCTTAAGCAGAATTCAACATTTAAATATGAAATAGTAAAATTTTGAATTTAGAAACATCCGCAGATGCTATAATAAAGTTAAATAAAGTTTTGGAAGCCAGAACTAACCAGTTACTTGTTAAAAAAAAGTTGTTTACCTTGCTTCGATGATACTATGTAAAATAACAAGAATAAAGATCAACAAGGCAAAGGCAACGTTCACAGGACGCTGCCCCCGGACACACCCAAGAAGGACACCCAGAAGGCACCAAACAAAAACCTGGAGTGGACACAATGGCGAAAGGAGTGGGACATGTAATGTGAAATAATATGACATTTTACCCATATTGTATAATACCAAAGCTGTCATTAAACTCGTTTAATAATTTACACGCCTTATAATTTCGTAAAGGTCGTAATGTCAGCGTTGTTTGTGCCGCGTGGAGGCCGTATAAAGTCGCCCCGTACATTCAATCAGGGATATTATATTTCCGATCCTTAAAGATCGTTCGGCAAAACATAATTGTTGTGCTTGTGGTATTTTAGTTCTTTCTATTTGGCATCTTTATTGTTAGGTGGTTTCTTTGGACGTCAAATATGTGATATGTAGGATTCATAACCTCAGACCCCCTTTCAAAATTCCATTTTATTTAGTTCCGCCCATTGTTTTCTCGTTTAGGGCAAAAGCATTTTTTTACTTGGGGACCATATGCCGCTTTTCATAGAATGGCACTAACGTGTCACATTGAAGGTTCCATGATAACCGCCATATGAACACATCTGCAGATGTTCCAAAATTTTAAATTTTACCAGTTCATGTTAAATGTTGAATTCTGCTTAAGCCGGTGCTAGGAGGCTTGGACGGTAGTTTGCCCTTTACGGTACCGTCCATCGACAGGCTCAATCAAACCGAGCCTGCAACATTTTCAATTTTGCCGTTTTGGGGTTTCTTTAGGGATTCTTATTTCTCTCTATTTTAAGTTACAATATCTAGTGTAAAACATAAGCATTTAGAAACAAATCAAAATAAAAGTCTTAAGTTAAGGATAAGCTGATGTTTAGTTGAATAGAATGCACACATCTTGAACAGCATATGTGCAATGAGTTTTACATATGAAATTTTGGCTGCATGAGGGGGCATTCGTAGCGTTACATCGTTCTGACAAATTTCTAGTTTGATCATTATTTAGCCAGCCGGCATAGCTCAATCGAGCGCGAGACTTGTAATCTCGGCATTGTGGGTTCAAATCTCGGGCTGGCCAACTAAAATTACTAATCAGTCTTTTGAATGAGACTTTAAATCAAAGTCCCATGTATGAGTGCTTAAACACTTTACTAAATCTGAAAAAAAAATCAGTGACGAAATTACATTTAATTATTAACAAGCAATGTTTAAATTAACAATTTACGTACATTGGATTTGCTCTAATTACTGCAAAAGCCATGTGCAATGTATCGTCGATTCTCAGATAATTAACTTTTTTCTCGTTGGTTCTTTTACTTTAACTACAAAAAAAGTTTAAATTTATATTCCACATGAGATCATCAATATTATCATTAACATTAACGGTAAAATGCTTGAATGAAAACTATTTGCGGCGCCGCAAACTTCAGCCGTGATTGCCGCATGGTAGTTGTATATTTTTAACGTGCTAATTAAGAGGCCGTTTATAATTAGATATCTTGACTTCTCAATCCAAATTATGTATAAAACAATTTTGTACATTCATAAAACACGTTAGGTCGGTGTTAGAAATAACCGGGTCGGTCGGGCTACCGGAAACGCAACATTTTTAAGGCCTAAATATGCACTCTAGACTTGAATGTAGCTGACATCATTTTCTGTATTTCGTAAAGTAATGGATATGCACTTTCAATGGTACTTAACGTTCGCCTCTTCACTTAGAGAAATATTCAATAACAGGATGCAGTATGCAGTTCACTTATTCACGACTTAAACTGTTATCGTGATGGAAAAATAATTGGCCCACTTGTCCTATAAAAAACAACTTCAGTGTGCGATTGTGACTTAATAGAGTGGTTCATAAAACAAGTCGAAATCTTAAAAAACGCGTTTATAAGGTATTTTATAAAAATAAGGTAGGAATTGGTTTTCGTTATTTTTTAATTTTGTTATTTGCAGAACTATGTCAAGAGTAAATAATGCGTAGTTAAAGGACCATTATACCCCAGAAATGCTTTTATTTCTCAAAGGTTTGTTTTATGTATATAATTATGGTGTCCAGATATAATTTCCAAAAAGTAATTCATTTGTACATTACCTAAATCATATCTCGTTTCTGTTCCTTTCTGGGAATTAGTACAGTTAAAATGATTTAGTATTGTGTATACTATTGTGAAATCAAATTACTTTTTTGTTTTTAAATACATTTTGCTACCTTTATAACAAATCATTTCACATTAAGCGCTATTGTCATTCAGAAAGTAGGCATCTAACATGCTCTAAACCCATTGTTTAAACACTTTAAAACTCATGATTGCCCTTTCTGAAGAAAGTAAAATATATTTGCTTCTAAAGCATAATGTATCTTTACGGTTACTAGATTGTAGCAACGCTAGTGCCAACAATGTTTTATTATGCAATTCTTTTTATTGTCCCCCGCCTTTTCGAAGAAAAAAGGGGGATATAGAAATAGGCTCCGTCCGTCCGTCCGTTTGTCCGTCCGTCCGTCCGTCACACTTTCGTGTCCGGTCCATAACTTTGTCATTTATGAAAGGAATTTGAAATAACTTGGCACAAATGTTTATTATAATAAGACGATGTGTCATGCGCAACAACCAGACCCCTACCTTCAGGGTCAAGGTCACACTTGCTCATTCAAGGTCAACATTGCCTATTTGAGGGTATATGTCGTGTCCGGTCCATAACTTTCTTATCTATGAAGGGATTTTGTAAATACTTGCCATAATTGTTCACAATAATTAGACGATGTGTCATGCGCAAAAACCAGTCACCTACATTCAAGGTCAAGGTCACACTTGGAGGTCAAATATTAACATAGTCTATTACAGGGAATATTTTGTGTCCGGTCCATAACGTTGTCATTTATCAAAGGACTTTGAAATTACTTGGCACAAATGTTTGTTATAATAAGACGATGTGTCATGCTCAACAACCAGACCCGTACCTTCAGGGTCAAGGTCGTACTTGCTCATTCAAGGTTAACATTGTCTATTTGAGGGTATATGTCGTGTCCGGTCCATAACTTTCTTATTTTTGAAGGGATTTTGTAAATACTTGCCATAATTGTTCACAATAATCAGACGATGTGTCATGTGCAAAAACCAGTCACTGACCTTCAAGGTCAAGGTCACACTTGGAGGTCAAATATTAACATAGTCTGCTACAGGGTATATTTCGTGTCCGGTCCATAACTTTGTCATTTATCAAAGGAATTTGAGATAACTTGGCACAAATGTTTGTTATAATAAGACGATGTGTCATGCGCAACAACCAGACCCATCCCTTCGAGTCAAGGTCGTACTTGCTCATTCAAGGTCAACATTGCCTATTTGAGGGTATATGTCGTGTCCGGTCCATAACTTTCTTATCTATGAAGGACTTTTGTAAAAACTTGCCATAATTGTTCACAATAATCAGATGATGTGTCATGCGCAAAAACCGGTCACCTACCTCCAAGTTCAAGGTCACACTTGGAGGTCAAATATTAACATAGTCTGTTACAGGGTATATTTTGTGTCAGGTCTATAACTTTTTCATAGATCAAAGGATTTTGAAAATACTTCGCACAAATAGTCACTATAATAAGAGGATGTGTCATGCGCAACACCTGCATCCCTACCTCCAAGGTCAAGGTCACACTTAGAGGTCAAAAATTAACATAGTCTGTTATAGGGTATATTTTGTGTCGAATCTAGAACTTCTTCATAGTTCAAGAGATTTTGGAATAACTTGGCACAAATAGTCACAATAATAAGCCGATATGTCAGGTACAACACCTGCACCCCTACCTCTTAAGGTCAAGGTCACACTTAGAGGTCAAAGGTTAACAGAGTCTGTTATTTGGTATATTTTTTGTCCTGTCCATTACTTCTTCATAGATTAAGGGATTTTGAAAATACTTGGCACAAATAGTCACAATGATTAGATGATATGTCATGCGTAACATCTGTGTCCCTACCTCCAAGGTCAAGGTCACACTTAGAGGTCAAAAATTTACATAGTCTGTTATAGGGTATATTTTGTGTCCAATCTATAACTTCTTCATAGTTCAAGGGATTTTGAAAATACTTGGCACAAATAGTCTCAATAATAAGACGTTGTGTCATGCACAACACCTGCTCCCCTACCTCCAAGGTCAAAGTCATACTTAGAGGTCAAAGCTTAACATGATAGATTTTTAAATTCCGTGTTTCATTTTATTTTTTAACAAATTTATTGTTACATTTGCAGATCTAGCATTGATCATAATTTTGGACTGAATGTCCTGAGATCCATACCTCAATCTTTTGAAATAGCACAATTTTATGCTTCATATAAAACTCCCGGGGCGGGGGACGTTGGTAACTCTGTTACAAATTCTTGTTGAATAAGGTTGTTAGGTAGCATGTTTGTTTTATCATCGTTATTTAATGTAGTGAAATATAGTTTCATTTGTTGTAGTGATACTTAACTTTATATCCTACTAATAAAATGATTCATACATATATATCACTCGTGATTGTGTCGCTTTTTAACTAATCTAATGATATTCATTTTTTAGCTCTTGTATAACTTATTTGGGAGAAAAAATGAGGTATTGTTACAGTTATGTCCGCTTACAGTTATGTCCGCGTTGCCGGTCGCAAACTTTAACCTTGATCATAACTTTAAAGTTCATTGTGTATTGTCTTCACACTTGGCCCAACAATCATTGGAACAAGACCTTCAAGTAGACTAGTTGACAAATTTAAATTTTCACTTCTTTGCTTTACTGGCTATAACATTGTTAGTAATGAATGGATAACTCTCATATTATAACACAGCATTCTTTAGGTCAAAACCTTTATGTATATTAAACTTAAATTGACCTTGGCCCTTTTATGACGTTGACCTTAAAGGTTAAATTATTAAACTTTCACTGATTTTTGCTATAATTAACTGTAACTTGGTTATTAATATATGGGTTATCTTTATAATTTGACAAAACAACATTTTTGACAAGACCGTCTAAAAGGTTGAACTGACCTTGACTTTGGAATGACCTTGACCGTAAAGGTCAAAATATTGAATTTTGGTTCAATTGTCATAATTTTGTTATTTATGTACGGATGTTATTTATTTTTTGTACTTGGACAAAATAAGACTTTCTACCAAACAATCATATTAAATAATTTAGATGAGACATTGACCTCATGACTCATGTATGACCTTGACACTGAAGGTCAAATTTACTTTATTAAATTTTCACTGATTATTGCTATAATTGACTGTTACTTGGTAATTAATCAATGGATTATTTTCATACTTGGACAAAACAACCTTTTAGATAAGACCTTTTCTGAAACGTTCAACTGATATTTAGCTTTTAAGAATTTTAGTTAAGTTGTCATAATTTTGTTATTAATGACCTTGACCTTTAAATGACATTGACTGTGAAATTATCAAAATATGATCATATTTTCTAAAATTTGTCATTTATTTATGGAAAGGATACATACTTGGACAAAACAACAATTGTGACTAGACAGACCTTTTAAAATTAAAAAAAAGAAAACGTTTTTCTTTAATTTTTTAAAGACGTGTTGAACCGGTTATTAAAAAAGTCAAAATATCGAGCGTTGCTGCTCCCGCCCGGCAATGGCTCTTGTTATTTTCGGCGTATGTACTATTTTTAACATTGTTTATTTTATTTTCAGGCTACCGTTTCCTACTGCACTAAAAGAAAGCTGAAAATGTCTAAGTGCACAGTACTTATATTATTTTTGGTGCTAAGTGAAGTTATTAATATAAGATCTCAAGCCTGTGTATGGGTTGGTAATCGCTGTTATGATGTCGGCGGTGGTTGTTCTACGAGTGGGCCCAGTCGCAGATGTACTCGGTTTCGTACCCAATGTCGGTGCGGTTATCGTTGGATCATCAATGCAGACTAGCAACGGAGTGTAAACGGGCTTACCTAACAATTAAAATGCTATATCTTAAAACTGGATTATTTAAATGATATACTATTGCTCTTAAATAGTGTAGCGTAAAAAAGCTTACAAGATGCAATAAACAAAATACACTTAACAGAATACGAAGATAGGAAGGTTATTATACTTCGTAAATGAAGTGTAAGAAGCACAATCAAAGTGAACATTCTTTGTTATTGTTCGATAGATATAGATGCAATGAATGTTATTCCATAAACGATTCAAATACAAAATGACTTCCATGAAGTGAACAACAGAACAAAGCAGCCATGTCTTGTTATGTTTATATATGTCGAGTAATATGCTTAACTTAGTCTGCAAGTGCAATGCATTAAAGCGGCCTTCAGCTTTTCTAAATGTTGACTATGTTAATTTGAGATAGTTTATAAACTCGTTTCATATATTTGTCAAATCAAAAGAATTAACGTTAAAAACGAAATTTACTGTCGATAATATATGAAGAAACCTCACAGAATTGTTTTTAAAGCAGTTATATTACATATTCATATTGCTTTGTTTTAACGTTTGTTAACATTATTCTTAAAAGCGCTTCAATAAAAACTGTATTTTTTAAAAATTTTGCATGAGCTTAACGTTTTGATAAAAAAACAAATTTTGGGTCAACGCCATCGTTTTCAATTTTATGGCAAGTGGAAGGTGCAAAGTAGGTGAGGAACTAGCACTTGTACGTCTAAAAAGAACTTTGTTCTGTTATAATTGGTTCAAAAGGCTTTACATGCGGTTGGTGTTAAGGTTTAGCGGAAAGTAGCGGTAAGTGGATTGTAGAAATGGCCTCCGTCTGTCAGTCTTTCCGTCCGGAAGACTTTTGTGTCCGCTCCATAATTTAAACCGCTGCAATTTTTTTTTAAAAAACTTGGCACCACTGATAACCATTATGAGACGATGTGAAACGCGCAATAGTTGGGTTGCTACCCCACGTAGAGGTCACACTTGAAGATAAAGTGTTCAAAGTGTAAATTTCGCGTCAGCTCCATAACTTTTTAACCGCTAAAATCTTTTTAAATAACCTGGCAAAACTTGTGTTTCTACCCCCAAGGTCAAAATCACACTTTAAAATCAAGTGTTAAAAGGTCTATATTTCATGTCCGCTCCATAACTTTTAAACTGCTGAATTTATTTTGAAAACACTTGGCACAAGTGATCACCATTATGAAACAAAGAGCAGAACACAATAATTCGGTTGTTACCTCAAAGGTCAAGGACAATCTTTAATGCCAAGTGTAAAAAAGTCTACTTTTCGTTCCCTAACATTTAAAACGCTGCAAAGTTTTAAAGATGACCTGGCAGAAATCATCACTTTTATGACACGATGTGCAGAACCCAAGATCCAGGTTGCTACCCTTATGTGCTCCATTCACTTTATAAAATGTTTTAAATAATTTGGCACATGTGTGAACATTTGTTAATATATTAGCAAAAATGTCATGAAAACTTGATGAGTTTTTAATTGTGGACTCAGACGTGGATGTTGTTGATTCAGGCCCTGTATTGGGATGCACATAAATTAATTAATCAAAAAGGATAACCACAGTAGTTTTTTTAAATTTTGAAAATCGAGATAGACCTTTAAAGATCCTGAATGTTGTAAATACGAATGTTACCACACTTAAGTGAAATCTTATATTTGTATATAATTATGCTTTTAAAACAATTTTCAAACATCGAAGAGTATTTAAAATATGCACTGCAAATATTTATCCTCATAATATGTTATCATTAAAATATATGCATTTATTTCTTATTGAAGAATTATTAAAGACTTTATAGAAAATAAATTTCTAATTACCTCCCTTTATTTACATGAAATATATATTCTTTACAAGTAATGCTTTTTGGAAATTACACTATTGATAAACCTTCATTTGAGCATTATATTTATGATATAAAACCATGAAAATATTGAGTTACAGGATCTTTAAGTTTACAATGAAGAGCAGGGAAAAGACCTATAACATAAGGCTATTCTTTGCATATGTAGATATTGAGGTGCGAAATACCTAGAGACAATGGCCAGGAAAGAAAGAATGAAAACTATTGGGAGGAAAAGTAAAGTAAGTTGCTCAGAAGGTATTGGCGTGTATTTCTACCAATATTGGTAATGAAAATAAATCAAGAAGTTTGTAAAATATGATAAACAAGATCAACAAGGAAAGGCGGCGCTCAATGAACGCAACCCCCATATGACCTAGCAACAAGAACCAATGGCAAGGAGCCCAGGCGGACCCCAAACATAAAACGGACAGGGCAAAGACAGGTTAATCATTAAATGATTAATAATTTGTAACTGATTAGGAATTCAAAGAAAATAATAATAGGCCCACAAAGGGGAAGGGGACATTTTCTAAATTAAAGTATCTTTTATTTGGTTTTACTTGTTATGCTCCTGACTTGCGGCATATAGTAATAGCATTGTCCGCGCTTCATCTCCAATACCGCAGGTGGAAATTCAGTGAAACTTCACAGAAGTGACCAGTGCGGTCCCTAGTTGTAAAATGATAATATACACATTCAATACATATGCGAATCAGTGTTAACTATGTACCAGTAATGTATATATAGTTCGTATAATAATGTCTGCGTTGAATTAACTGTAAACGATGGATTACAGTTGTGTAATGAAACCAGTTCTTAGGGACAATTTGTAGTGTATTTCATAATTAATTCTTATATAAATACATTTTCTAAATTAAAGTATCTTTTATTTGGTTTACGGTAAGTATCTTCCCCTTTGTCCCTAGTTTTTATTTATTTTATTTATTCCCCCCTTCCCCGTGTCTCATGTCCCCTTCCCCTGTGCCTTTTGACTTTATGGGCCTAATATTAAATCATTTATTTGTTTTCGTTTAGTTCCTTATCAGTTACTAATTATTTATTCTTATGTAGTGGTTTGCCTGCCCGTGCTCTGCCTTATGTCCTGTCATATTTTTCTCCTTGCCGCTGGCGATTGTTGCTGGGTCGGGTGGGGGCTGCGTTCATTGAACGCCGCCTTTCCTTGTCGATCTTGTTTATCATATTTTACTTGTTATGCTCCCGACTTGCGGCATATAGTAATAGCATTGTCCGCGCTTCATCCCCAATACCGCAGGTGGAAATTCAGTGAAACTTCACAGAAGTAATCAGTGCGGTCCCTAGTTGTGCATATCGCATGTACGTTCCGCTCCGCTGCAAAAAATAGCCACCAGAGCTATAAATAAAAACAATTAGTACGCGCTTCATCTAAAAAAAACCCTGGGGGATTTCTGTGAAACTTCACAGGAGTGATCAGTACCATCCCTTATCGTGCATATCGCCGGCACGTTCCGCTCCTAAGCGCAATATGGCCACCAGAGCTATAAACAAAGACAAATATTGTCCGACTTTCACAGGTCAAACTACTGGCGGGATTACAATGAAACTTCACAGGAGTGATCAGTACCATCTTTAATTGTGCATATCGTCCACTGATTTCCCAGGTCAAACTGCTGTTGGGATTTCAATGAAACGTTACAGAAGTGATCAGTACCATGCCTTTTTGTTCATATCTCCGGCACATTCCGCTCTGCTGCACAGCGACCGGGCTATGAATATAAAAGTCTTCTCCGGTTTTGTCAAACCTCTCCAAATCCCTCCAGAGGCGTGCACGTCGCGAACAAGCACACGGCAGGTCAAGGTCAAGTCATCCCAAGTACCAGAGATGATTGTGACTTACTATGGAGGGTGGCGTTAACAATCGTCGTTTTTGTTACCGTTGGTAGGAAAGCTGATGCCTTGGCAGTGTTGTCGACTCCTTCACCACCATTGAACGAAGAACAGACTCCAAGATTCGGCATGAAAAAGACTACTACAGAGGACCGACAAGGATGCTATAATCTCGGGACATATGGTTATTATGGCGCCGAGTATAAACAATTTAAAAACACACACAGGCCAAACTGCTGGTGGGACTTCAATATAACTTCACAAAAGTGTTATGCATATCGTCGGCAAGTTCCACTCCGCTGCACAAAATGGCCGCCAGAGCTATAAATGGGCTTCTTTTTTAGGTATAACTGCTGGTCGGATTTCAATGATACTTCACACAAAAGTGATCAGTACTATTTTTAGATGTTCAGATCGTCAGCATGTTCCGCTTCGCTGCACAAAATAAATGGCGACCATAAATGGTAGCAAATTGTTTTAGTAAATTTTGTTTGGACTATTTTCTCCTACATTTTTATTGGAAAAAAAATTTTTTTTAGAGATTCCCGGGGGTCATTGATTTTCAGTCACTATGTCATGTAAAAAAAATAAAAATCTTCTTGTCTGAAGGTACAAGGCTTAGAGGTGATATAATCAAAGGCGGTCAGGCGTATAAAACCCGTATTTTGGCATATATTGCGGCTTCCTTTCGGGGGCATAAGTTACTATTTCAGTTACAGCTCTTGTTAAACTATCAGTTTCACCCTTATATTGTTTTCAAAAAGGAGAGAGTAACAATGGCGACCAATTACTTGTTAAAAAAAGAAGTTGCTTCCCTTGCTTCGATGATACTATGTAATATGACGTTTTCCCTACGTTGCAAAATACCAATGCTGTCATTTAAGTCGTTAAATATTGTACACGCCCTATAGTATCGCAAAGTTAAGTTACAATATCTAGTGTAAAATCATAAGCATTTAGAGTGTATAAAAAATCAAAATGAAAGTATAAAGAATTTGTTCAATGAGTTTATACAAATATACAATTTGCAAAAAGTTAACACGGAATTGTATAAAAATGGTTAGTACATTTGTATTAATATTGAATAGTTTAAGGGCTTTGAACTTAGAATGTTTTGTGCAAACAACTTTGGAACTTAATATTATTTTAACATTATAATTAATATTATTTTAACATTTGAAATTTTTGCTGCATGCGGGGGCATTCGTAGTGTTACGACGCATTTCTAGTTTGATCATTATTTAGCCAGCCTGCAAAGCTCAACGTTAAAGAACCAGCAAAGCTCCTTGATTTGCGGCATCATCTTTATGTATCTGTATCTTTCACTATCCTCAAAAGATCTAAAATGACTGATACTCTTCCGGAGGACTCGCCCATATAGGTAACCTGTGGCGAGTAAACTCAGATACACACTCATCATTATTTAGTGAAGACAAATTGTACATGTTTAATAACTGTTTGAGTACACTAAAAAACCTCAAAAGGAAACATATTTTGTTTGATTTTTTACCGCGGGTGAATTTATAAACGTAATAATGGAAAAAATGTATTTATTATGAGTGTTTTGATACTAAATTAAAAAAAAAACAATAAAAAACAAGGACTTCATTACTTTAATTATTATTAGCAAGCACTGTGTAACTTAACATTTTCCGCACACTGGATTTGCTCTAATAACTGCAAAAGCCTTGTTCAATGTATCGTCGATTACTCGGGTTTATTTTTCTCGATGGTTCTTTGACTTTTAAACTCTTTAACTTTTTTACAAAAACAGTTTGAATATATTCCACATGAGTACATCAATATTATCATAAACGTTAACGGTAAAATGCTTAAATGAAAAATATTTGCGGCGCCACAAGCTTCAGCCGTAATCGCCGCATGGTAATGATAGAAGTTCGTTGTATATGTTTGACGTCCTAATTAAGAAGCCGTTTATAATAAGTTATCTTGACTTCTAAATTATATTATTGTGTCGCCTTGAAAGAGGCGACATATAGGGGTTACTTTTGTCTGCGGTGTCGGCGTCGTTGTCGGTGTCGGCGTCCCCTTAAACTTGTCTGGAGCATAAGTCAGTCATTATAAGTCGGACTGACTTCAAACTTGGTATGCATGCTTCTGATAATGACCCGGAGTGCAGTGCACAAGAACCGGTACTCTGCATGTCTTATTTTTTTAGTTATTGCCCTTTGTTAATTTGCATACTTTATTTTTGACCAGGCCATTTCTCCTAAAATATAAAAGCTATGGACATGAAACTTCATTGGATGATAGATCTCTTTAAGGCAAAGTGCAGTGTGCAAGAACCGGTACTCTGCACTTCTTATTTTTGAGTTATTACCCTTTATTAATTTTCATACTTTATTTTTGTCCAGGCCATTTATCGTAAATAATAAAAGCTATAGACTTGAAACTTCATAGGATTATAGATCTTAATGATAAAAAGTGCAGTGCACAGAAACTGCTGCTCTGCACTTCTTATTTTTTTGCCTTTTGTCAATTTTCATATTTCATTTTTGTCCTGGCCATTTCTCCTAAACTAAATTTTTCACAAGGTGACACATCGACTGGTCTTTAAACTTCATAGGATGATAGATCTCATCAAGATAGATTGCAGTTTACATGAACCTGTACTCTGCACTTCATAATTTTGACTTATTACTCTTTATTAATTTTCATATTTCATTTTTGTCCTGGCCATTTCTCCTAAACTATATTGTTCACAAGGCGTCACATCCGACTGGCGGAGTTCTAGTTAAAACTAAATTATATATAAAAATGTGTACATTAATTAAACACTTTAGGTCGGCGTTAGAAATAACCGGGTCGGTCGGGACACCGGAAACACAATATTTCTAAGGCCTATATATACACCATGTTGATGAACTCTATATGACTATATGACATCAATTCAAACTTATTATTTTGTATTTTGTAATGTAATGGATATGCGTTTACATATGGGAATAAAATAAGTTTAAGCAATGATATAAACAATGGTACTTAACGTTCCCCTGCTCACGTAGAGTAATATTCAATAACAGGATGTAATTCACTTACGATTATACGATGGAAAAATAATTGGCCCACTTATCCTATAAAAACAACTTCAGTATGCGATTGTGATTTAATAGTGATACATAAAATACGACGAGCCGAAATCTTCTTGAAAAACGCGTTTATGAGATATATTATAAAATAAGGTAGGAATAAGTTTTCGTTATTTTTTAATTTTGTTGTTATTTGCAGAACTATCCAAAACGTAGATAGTGTGTAGTTAAAGGCCCATTATGCCCCAGAAATGCTTTTATTTCTCAAAAGATTGTTTTATATATATAGTTGGTGTCTTAATATTATTTCCAAAAAGTTATTCACTGGCCAATTGCCTAAACATACCTTGCTTCTGTTCCTTTCTCGGAATTAGTACAGTTTAAATGATTAAGTTATTTGTAAAGAAACCAAATACAGTTTTGTTTATACATTTTGCTACTTTTATTACAAATAATTTTACATTTAGCACTATTTTCATTCAGGCAGAAGGCATCTAACATGATCTAAACCATTGTTTAAACAGTATAAAACTCCTTGAAGAAAGAAAACTATTTTTGTTTCTGAAACATAATGTTTTTTTACAGTTACTAGATTGTAGCAACGCTAAAAATGTTTTTATACAATTCTTTTTATTGAATATAGGTTTTGACGGAGCATTTTTTTACCATCGTTTAATGTAGTGAAATATAGTTTCATTTGTTGTGTTGATACATAACTTTATATCCTAATAAAATGATCAAGCAAACAGAGATGTGAAATAATGTTGATGTGACCTTGACTGTCAAGTCATCAAATTCTGATAATATTTTCTAAACTTTGTCATTTGTTTATGAAAAGGATTCATACTTGGACAAAACAACAAGTGTGACTAGACTTTAAACAAAAACAAAAAAAACAAAAAAAAAACACTTTTTTCTGTAATTTTCTTTTAAAGATTTGTTGAAACCGGTTATTTGTTGCTTTTAGAAAAAGTCAAAATGTCGAGCGTTGCTGCTCCCGCTCGGCGGTGGCTCTTGTTATCTTCGGCGTATGAACTATTTTCATTATAATTGTTTCTTTCTAATTACAGGAAACCGGTTCATACTGCATTAAAAGAAAAAGGAAAATGACTAAGGGCACATTACTTATATTATTATTGGTGCTTAGTGAAGTTATCAATGTAAGATCTCAAGCATGTGTACGGGTTGGTTATCGCTGTTACGATGTCGGCGGTAGCTGTTCTAAGAGGTGGACTAATCGCAGATGTTTTCGGATTGGTTCCCGATGCCGGTGTAGAACTGCTTTTGTTATCGGATCACCGCTGCAGAATAACAACGAATTGCAAACTAGCTTACCTAACAATTAAAATGCTATCTTGCTCTTAAAACTGGATATTTAAACGATATATAATTGATCTTATACAGTGTGTAGTGTAAAGAAGCTTACAAGATGCAATAAACAAAATACATCTAACAGAATCAGTCGAAGATACGATGGTTACACTTCTAAAATGAAGAACCACAATCAAAGTGAACATTCTTTGTTATTGTTCGATAGATATAGATGCATTGAATGTTAGATGTAAAAAATGTTATTCCATTTAAGATTAAAATAATAAAAAAAAACTTGACTTCCATGAAGTGAGTTATTTAAATATAACAACAGTACAAAGCAACTTTGTCCTTTATTATTATATATGCGGAGTAATATGCTAAATTTGTCTGGAAGTGCAATGCGTTAAAGCGGCCTTCAGCTTTTCTAAATGTTGACTATGTAATTTAAGATAATTTATAAAATCGTTTCATATATTTGTCAGATCGAAAGAATTAACGTTGAAAATGAAATTTAACGTCCATAAAATACATAAATGATAAGGAAACCCCTCGATACCTCTTATCTTCCAGTCCGCTCTCAATATGAAAATGAGTCAAGTGGACGTTTTCCCCATCTTAAAACAAACGCTACTGCGCGCTATTAATATCTCTCGGGACGCTGTTTTGAAGAAAGCTTAACAGTGATATGACGTACTTATCCTCGAAAAAAAAAATACGGAAATAACTTAATTGCAACACCACAAATAGTTTTAAAACAAAATATTAAAGCTGAAGGCCGCTTTAAAACTACCGTTTATAAAGCAGTTATGTTACATATTCATACTGTTTTGTTTTAACGTTTGTAAGCATCGTTCTTTAAGGCACTGCAAAACATATAGAAAAATAAAAACTGTAAAATTTATTTCAACTTTGCGTGAGCTTATGAACGTTTTAATGAAAACAAATTTTAGGTCACCAACCTCGTTTTCAATTTAAGGCAAGTGGAAGGTACCCAATAGTGCGGAACTAGCGCTTGAACGTCAAAAAGAAGAAATTTTGTTCCGTTTTAATCGGTTCCAAAAGCTTTAGATATGGTTGGTGTTAAGATTAAAATTAAGGGGTTTTTTTTTCTTTAAGGGATTTCGTTTTCTTTATTTCATTTGAACTATGAAAATAAAACCAGTGTGTTTGTTTACAACTTTTATTTAGAGGTTAATACTTGGTGGCTGCTCGCTATTTTGCGATAATGCCCATCATTATGCCATGTATGCGATGATGGCCCGAAGATGTCCATATTGACCTAAGTTATTAATAGGTATTAATAACTGAAGCCTCTTTCTGTTAAGATCAATATGGAGAGCATTGGATTAGTTATACAGGGGTCGTTGGTTCGATCCTAGGGCAGGGCGTTAATTTTTTGAGACAATTGATCTCGAACATTGAGCGTTATTGTCATTTGTCTGTCATGGCCAACTCAGAAATAATTTAGAACAGGAAATGTCGAAGGACACTTATGCTCCCTTTCTAGCCCTTGACTATTGTTAATTTTGTTATATAAACTTGCAACAAATTGGTACATTAAAGTTTTCAGCTATAGAAAAAAATGACCTACTAGTTATAACCAATCAATATGTGAATTATAAAAAGGCCTTAACCTTTCAGCTAGTGACCCCGTTCTGACCAATCAATATATAAAATATGAAGACTGCGATAACAAGTTTTCAAGGTAATGAGCGGAAACCATTCTTACATGTAAGGCCGCTGTGACTTTTAAGGTCAAATTAATTAAATTCTCTAATATTTTCCGTAACTGGCTATAACTTTGTCACATATAAATTGATTAACTTCGTGTTTAGATAAAGTTCTTTAAGGTCAGGACCTTCATGTTTATCAAACAAGCTGCCCTTTACTCATGTAAGACCTTGACCTTGAAGGTCAAATGATTTAATTTTTACTTAATATTGCTATAATTGACTGTAACTTGGTTATTAATCAATGGATTATTTTCTTCCTTGGATAAAACATCCTTTTGGACAAGACATTCTTAAAGGTTGTACTGACCGTGAACTTTAGGTTTAAATGACAATAAACCTCAAGGTCAAAGTATTGAATTTGGTTAAGTTGTCATAATTTTGTTTTTTATTTACGAATTCGATTCATACGTGGATAAAACAACACTTATGACCAAGCAGACATGTGGAATATAAGTGACATTGGCCGTTAAATGATTGAATCTTGATTATATTTTCTTAACTTTGGGATTTATTTATGAACAATAAGTGTGACTAGACAGAAACTGTCACAGTACCAGAGTCACAACACATCTGGGAAAATATCCTGCCTACCCCAAAAAATCTTATACAAGTTTAGTTAAAACCATGTTCGTCTGTATGTAAATAAAATATGTACCAGAAATGTTATATAAAGCCAGTAAAAATGGAAATGCGTTAAACGTCTTTTTAAAAGTAAAGTTACTGAATTATATAAGATATTTGGCATTGAACCATACATTTAACTGTTTAAATGTGAAGTTTTTGGAAAATAGCTTCTTTTTTTTCAAGATCCATTTTATCATCAGTGAGACTAAGAGGGACATAGAAAGATAATGGTATTGTTTCAAAATTCACATTAAGTGAACTGTTGTAACTGTTTCTAATTTTCCCATTTGCCCTCTTTGTGATGTAATTTTCTCCTCTCCATGGACCCAGCCGGCTTCTTACTCTTACTACACGTACAAGGTGTGTGTCATTTTGACATTTCTTGTTATATTCTTATTTAGGTGTAAGTGACAGATGCTTGAGGGATAAAGGAAGTCGGCTTGAAGAATGGACATCTTTAGCGAAGCATTTCCCAAGAACGATATTTAGAAGCACAGATTCCAGCACAAGTGTATCTTGGATTCATCTTCGAGAGGAGACCTATACAGATTTGTTGACTGCTCTCCATGGGAAAGCTTGTGCTACAGCTGCCTGTTTCAGAGACACAGCTTTTTGAAATATTGAAAGTTGCGATTGAAGTTTTATTCACTCAATTTATACGATAGTATGTGTATTTAATTAATTTTAAGTAATCTATATAATTATGTTCCCGTATGGTGGAGCAAATACACTCTAACTGTAATTTGTCCATCTATCACAATCTTGCCAGACAATATCATGAAAAGTAATTAAGTGATTTGATTAAACTTCACAGAATTGTTGCGTCATAGAGCTGTTAATAAATCTTGATTAACTAATGAATTAGTTACTTTTAATAATACTTTAAAATGCTTGTCCAAAGAATAACTCCTAAATTATTATTGATATCCATAAAGATGAAGATAAGTGATAGGAATTGCAGTATATGAACCATATTTTATGCATAATCTTCCTTTATAATCCTTAAAAATACTTGTCAACAGAATAACTTTGAGAACTTGATCAAGTTTCCACTTGTCATCTCTTTCAATTAAGTCAATTTCCTATATTTCTCACCCTGCCCTTTTTGCGACTAGAATAAATTTATTTCCGTCTCAAATTTGATACCAAATGGCCTTACAGAAACACATAATCTGATAGGACGATTGGTAGTTCCTCCCTTAATGGCTATTCTAACATCACTTTAGTTAGTAATAATTACTCCTTCGAATGTCTTTTGCAAGTAATGACAGTTTTAAAATCAGACAAGGCCGAACTATTCAACTCAAATTTTATGAAGATAAATGACACATCTTGATTTTATTTAAATTAAATGGGATTGATAGCTTCTGAGAGTTTCCGATGGAATTTTGTCACAAAGTTGTACACCAATGGAATATTTGTGGATGTGACTGTTTTACAGATGCTGAAAACTAAATAGTTCAGTTATCATTTTCAAGAATTCACTAATCAGGCACTTCAAACAGTCATTGGTTTAACTGTTAATATCTACATATAACTGCTCATTTCGTTATAATGATAATCGACTTTCTGTCATATGTGACATTTTCTCTCACTTGTCTGCCTTAACTGTAGTTTAATGGCTATGTAGTTACTTGGCAGCTTATAAAATGCAAAAGTGCATCTACAATTCTTTAATTTTACCTAGTTATCAGGAGTAATCTAGCTAAATTGCTCAATCTTGATATAATATGCATTACCTTAAAATAGAGAAAAACAGAATCCCTAAAGAAAGCCCAACACGGCATATATGAAAATGTTGCAGGCTCGGTTTGAATAAGCCTGTTTATGGACGGTACTGGAAAGTTGAAAGTTACTGCCCACGCCCTCTAGCACTGGCTTAAGTAGAATTCAATATTTTAACACAAAAATGGTGAAATTTTGAATTTAGAAACGTCTGCAGATGTGTTTATACGGCGGTTATCATGGAACCTCCAATGTGACACAGAAGTGCCATTCCACGAAAAGCGGCATATGATCCCCAACGAGAAAACAATTGGCGGAATTAAATAAAAGAATAATAATTAAAGACACCTTTAACCTCAGCAAAAAAACCCCTAAGAAATAAGGATGTGATCGGGTATATAGCCAATGAGTAACTTTTTGGAAACTGTAAAGGACATTGAAAATTAAAGGGGTACAAAATGTATATTGAAAATGAATCAAGATAAACAACGAATTTCTTTACAAACCGGATTGCATTGATTTCATTAACTAAAATATATTTTTAAGTATTTCATTTTCCTAAGATTGCTAAGTGTGATATTTCAATTCCACCAATTTGATTCTTTTCTTGTCGAATACAAATGGCTTGGATACTGTTGAGTCACCATTAGGACATGTTACATGTGTTTATTTGTTATTAAAAACCTGTCTGTGACACACATGTTCACTTCTGATTCTTTATTTTCCAAAAATCTTTTTTGAAGTTTTGCTTATTGTGTTCTTGTTATGACATACGCGTATGTTTACCTGAAGACTTACCTCGTTTTTTTATTGCATTACACAAAACATTGACTGTTTATGATCACTACCGTATAAATGCTTATGAATGTTTGAAAATCAAGTGTAAACATTTTTTTACTTAGTCCATGCTAGAAGCTTTGTAGGTAGTTTGCACTTGACAACGTAGTCACACGTACCGAGCATGAAATAATTTTTATCTTGCCGTTTGCGTTCCTTCAATTTGTAAAATATACTGAATTCTTGAGCAAGTCTCAATTTGATTGCCAGGTATTTGTCTTATTGTGACACATAAAAGTCAATTTTACTACTACTAACAATTTCTACCTTTTTCCTTGACGTATCATTGATATTCTAAAATTCGCAGACAGGAAGGAAAAGGGAAATTCATTATGAAAAAACTCTGAAATACCTTCAATTCTGAATACAAAATGAAGACTTCTAACTTTACCCAATTCTTATTTTGTCATAAAAAAAATCTTAACCCATTTCCATTGCGCCCATTTCTTTGGCTTGAATTAATTCAATTTCGACAATTATTTCCGTAAAAATAAACACAGAAAATAGGGAACTATTGGCAGTTTAGGACAGAAAGGTTAGTTATTTGTCTATATCACAGCAATTAATTAACATAATTCTATTATATTAAGTTACAAAAACTACAATGATTAAAGCCAGACAAAGTCAATCTTTTATATTCTGTAGATAGTAAGTACAAGAAATAGTAAGGATCGGCTTTGTCTAGCAAGGATATTAATTGCAATATGATGCATCAAAATGGAGAAACAAGCAAGATTTTACGCAAGCGTAAAATGGCTGCGAAGGAATAGGTTAAATGGAAAGGAATAAGTCAAATATTACCTGAAGAATGTGTTGTGATGCATGTGAGATGATTTATAACAAAAGTAGCAAAATGTGATTGTAGTATATTGATTTTCGATCATATACTAGACTACCATAAATATGTTTGGTCCCTAAATTAATCGTTAAATTATGGTGTATAAAATAATAGTTATTTCTTTAATAACTTTTTTGGTCGAGC